CTCTCTGACTCCTTGCTGACCTGTGAGCCCTTTCCTCAAGAACATCTGTGGGAGGTTCTGGAAGTTCTGAAAACCAAGACTGTGTGTCCTTAACCTGGAATCTCCCATAACCCCTGTGACTCCCAACTTCTATAACCATCTGTCCCCAGGCCCTGGTACACGGAGGCTGGTGAAGGTCTCATCCACAGGCACTGAATCTTCAGATGACTTTGAGGAGCGAGACCCTGGTAAGACTGAAGCAGATGGGGTGGGGCAGGGTGGGAAGTGGACCAGGCAAATCTGACCCTGTCTCCCTGTAGACGTGGGAGATGGGCTGGAGAATGGGCTCGGCAGCCCTTTCAGGAAGTGGACGCTGTCCACTGCGGCTCAGACCCACAGGCTACGGCGGCTGCGGGGTCCAGCCAAATGTCGAGAGTGTGAAGCCTTCATGGTCAGTGGGACTGAGTGTGAAGAGGTATGTCCTGGACTGATGATCCAATGACCTCTGTTGACCCCTAATGACCTAAGATCCCTAAAACCTTCCTGCCCTCAGGACCCACCCTGATCTGATGATCTCCTACATACCCTCCATTCCCTGAGGATCCCTACAACTGTCTTTTTTTCCCACTCACCCCCAATGACCTCACTCACTCTGTGACTTTCTCCCCAGTGTTTCCTGACCTGTCATAAGCGATGTCTGGAGACCCTGCTGATCCTCTGCGGACACCAGCGGCTCCCAGTCCGGACACCTCTCTTTGGGGTCGACTTTCTACAGCTTCCCAGGGACTTCCCAGAGGAGGTTCCCTTTGTGATCACCAAATGCACAGCTGAGATAGAACACCGTGCCCTGAGTGTTCAGGTGCTGCCTTGGCCCTAGACTGTCCCCAGAAATGACTTTACCCTATTGATGGTTGGATCATAAGCCAGGTGTCTTTTATGCCCTATAGGGCATTTACCGGGTCAGCGGATCCCGGGTTCGCGTGGAGCGACTGTGCCAAGCCTTTGAGAATGGCCGAGCATTGGTGGAACTGTCAGGAAACTCACCTCATGACATCTCAAGTGTCCTTAAGCGGTTTCTCCAGGAGGTGGGTACTCAGGGAACTTGGGAGGGTGGGGATGGGCAGGGGCTGAGGACCCTAGGCAGACTACCTATACTCATGAACCCCTGCCCCTTTTCCCTCCAGCTCACCGACCCTGTGGTCCCCTTCCACTTCTACGATGCCTTCATCTCTCTGGCTAAGACCCTGCATGCAGACTCTGGGGACAACCCTGGGACCCCCAGCCCCAGTCCTGAAGTTATCTGCTCGCTGAAGACTCTCTTGGTACAACTGCCTGACTCTAACTACAACACTCTTCGGCACCTGGTGGCCCATCTATTCAGGTGTGCATTGGTCCCTGAGCCTTGAATTGTGATCCCTTTCCCTCGACATGTGATTGCTAACCCCTGATACTGACCTCTGATCTTTGACATGTTTTCTGAGGTCTGAACCTTAATACATGACTCACAACTTTGGGTACTGATACCTGACTCCCATCTCTGGACATGTGGCTGCTGGTCTCAATGACCAGGATCAATTACCTGAGACATGGGCAAGTCACCAATAGGCTGGCCTATAGGTCTTACCCTTACCCTCAACTGATACCTTGCACCTCATACCCTGATCCTTCTCCTCATACCATCGCCAGGGTGGCTGCACGGTTTGAAGAAAACAAGATGTCTGCCAACAACTTGGGAATTGTATTTGGGCCAACGCTTCTGCGGCCACCAGATGGTCCGTGGGCAGCTGGTACCAGCCCTGTCACCTGCCTGCTAGACTCTGGACACCAGGCTCAGCTTGTTGAGTTCCTCATTGTGCACTACGAGCAGATCTTCGGGATGGACGAGCTCCCTCTGGCCACAGAGCCACTGCCCCAAGACCCCAGCCCAGCCCCTGGGCCCCTTACAACCAGCCCCCAACCTCCAGTCCCATTCCTTGACTCAGAGTCACAGTCCCCAGCCCTAGCCTCGGACCCTGACCCAGACTCTAAGTCTCATAGTGCCCAGGAGGAGCATTCTGAGTCCACATCCTCCAAGGTAGGAGCCTATTGGACCCACACATGCGGGGAGAGCCTTATCTCTGTTTAATTCTCTCATTTTCTATCTTCTTTTACCTTTAAAATTTCTTCCATTCTCTCCTCCCTTCCTTATTTAATCTGTGCTCATTCTGGAAGGAATAGTGAGGAATGAAAGGGTGGGTAATAATGGATCCCTTTCCCTTGACGTGTGATTGCTAACCTCGACCTGTGATTGTAACAACAGGGGACACCCTGTAAAGGTACAGCATGGGCGATTATTCATTCAACAGAATATTTATCAAACATTTACTTTGTGCCAAACATTGTTCTAAGAAACATCAGTAAGCTAAATAATTAAGACCTCATCCTCTTGGTATCTGCATTTTAGTGGGGTGGGAAAAGACCAACAATAAACAAATATGATATAAAATCAGTTATATAGGATGTTACAAGGTGACAGAGACAAGTACTATGGAGGAAAGAAAGGACAGAGCAAGTAATGGGACACCACAGACACCAGGTTGATAAGTGGAGAACAGTTTGAGGGGTTTTGTTTGGTTTTGGGTACTGGGGATTGAACCCAAGAGCACTTTACCACTGAGCTACATCCCCAGTTCTCTCTGTTTTTTGAGACAGGGTCTTTTCAAATTGCCTAAGCTGACCCTGAATTTGTGATCTTCCTGCCTCAGCCTCCCAAGTCACTGGGATTATAGGCATGTGCCATTGTGCCAGCATGGAGGGCAGTTTATAGCAGTAGATAAGAATACATGGGCAGATTTTATGGAACAGATAGATTTCAGCAAAAATTGAAAGGATATGAGGGTGGAATGAGCCTGGTGTAAATCTGGGAAAGGATATCCCAGACAAAGAGAACAGCTAGTCAGAGGCCGTGAAGTAGAGTTTGCCTGGTATGGTCAGAGCACAATCCTACCTTGTAATGAATGAGCAATGGGAAAGTGGTAGGAAGTGAGTCCAAAGAAGGATTGACCCCAATGGCTCTGCCCCCTGCCACTAATTATGCACCTACTATGTATGGGGTATGGGCCACTCTTACTATGCATGGAGCATGGACTACCACTGAATCCATACCTACTATTCATGGGCACTATATAAGCTTCCTGTTGCCTTTGCCACAGCTCTGAGAAGCAGATTACTGTTAGTGAAAACTACTTACTGCTAAGATGATACAGCTAAGGATTTAAGTAATTAAGTGACCCTGATGGGGAGTCATGGCAGTCAGAATCTAGTGGGGCTCACCCACCAGAATGCAGAGCTCAGCTATGAATCAGGAAAATGGCAGCAACAGCCACTCCAACAGTCTGTGCCCATAGCCTGTGCTCAGGACTGCTACCAGGAGGCTCCCCTGTTTCACTGATCCTGCTACACCCACCATCTTAAGGACCCCTTCTGCAGAGCTAGGAAAAGGCTGTGAATTGTGGGTATGAGAAATGGAATAGCTTGTGAGGTGCTCAGTATTCAACACATAGAGTTCAAGTCATCATTACTATTTGGCAAAAGAACAGTGAGGATATACAGAGAAACTAGAAAGCTGAGGTAAGGTGGGTAAAAGTGCAGAGAATAGCCTAGCATGGAGACAGTAGCTCAGAGGCACCACCCAGTCTGAATTGGAGCTGGCTAGGCCTCTCCCTAGGCTGGCCCTCTGATGAAAAAGGAAGTTACTGCCCCTTCACAGAACTCTGTGCAGGAGGGGCAAGCAGAAGACTTTTAAGAACATAGTCTGCCCCCAAATTGCACAGGAGATTTTGCATGGCCAGGAATAAACCACTGGCTCTACAAGAATCTTAACTGAAATTTTATCATTGGGGTCACATTCTTGGGTTTCTCCCTGCAGATTCCAGCTCTGCAGAGTGACCAAAGAGAGGAAGTGGCTGAAGATACCAAAAATGGGGAAGGGGAAGGTGAGTATAGGAGAGTAGCTTAGGAGTTCTGGGGATGCCCCTTCCTGAGGGATGGCTTAGCTGAGAGATGGGGAGGTGGGGGGATCCAGAGGACTTGGGGATACTAAGCATTGACCACCCCACCCAACAGTGTCCAGCCAAGGCCCTGAGGACTCACTCCTAGGAACACAGTCCCGCGGCCATTTCAGCCGCCAGCCAGTGAAGTATCCGCGGGGAGGTGTGCGGCCTGTTACTCATCAACTGTCCAGTTTGGCCATGGTGGCTTCCAAGCTGTGTGAGGAGGCCTCTATCTCAATGCACAGAGGGAGTCTGAGGGGGCGGGGGCCAGGCCCTTCTGCTGCCTCCCCTGACAACAGCCCCCTGCGACGCACCCCACTGCCTAAGCATTTTGAGATCACCCAGGAGACTGCCCGCTTACTCTCTAAGCTGGACAGTGAGGCTGTGCCTAGGACCTGCTGCCCAGACCTCCAGCCTGAGGAAACCGAGGACCATCTCTGACCATCCTAAGGAGCCCAGGACAAAGAAGATGGACCCATATTTCCTTACTTCTCCCCACCTATAAGGAAAGACTACACGGCCTAGGGAGGCCTAAAACACTTTGGGGGCAATGTCCCAGGAATTTCCCACCAGACACAGGTGGTTTCAAGCATCAGGGCCTCTCAAGTTCATAGGTCACTCAGGGTCAATACTCAGGGTCAATACAAGGTCATGAGATCCTTGGGGTCTGCCTTAGACTTTGACCTCAGGGATAGGGGTGTGTTTTATTACTTTGGTTGTGATCACTCCTCCTTTCCCACCTGGCTCCTCAGATTCCAAGTATTCCATTCTTGGAGGAGATGGGCAACCCAGACCCCACATCCTGGTGGTGCCTGCAGCCTGGGATCAGATGGCCTCTAAATAAACCGCCCTATATATTCTTTATGTCTGTCTTTGCCCAGGGATAGTGACAGGGAAGAGGCCAGCAAGAGCAGCACCCCTGGGCCCCATTTTTACCTATCAGGGAAACCAAAGCCCCCTTTTCTTCATGCTCAAACACCCTTCAAAACCTACAGGCAATTAAGGGTTGGACCTGGACACCCAGCTGAGTCACACCGCCTGGCCCTCCCAGAGCTCCTTTGTCCCGGATCTGGTCCTGCATAATCAAACAAATATAACCAAAGCGCAGATAACCGGGACAATGCGGCTGTGTGCTCCGGAGTGTGGGAGCCCCGGGCCGCCGCGCAGAAGCGGGGGAGGAAGCCACAGGACTGGGCAGTGCAGGGGGCGCAGAGAAGACATTGCAAGAAATTTGAGTGGGACAGAAAGGTTTCTGGGGCAAGGGAGGCCGCTGCGGTAGTTGTGAACTGAGGGAAGCAGAAGCTGGGCTGGGGTCCCCGCGGTGGGAGCCAAGTCGGATCAGGGCGTGGCTTGTAACTCGGAGGACGATTGGGCACCAGGGATAGGGCGGGGTGGGACTGAGTGGGTTGGGGGTCTGGAGCAGTGAATCGGAGCTAGAGGCCACCCTCAGCTGCGCCCGAGCAGTGTAGGGTCACGGAAGGAATTATCCGGCAGCCAAGTGAGTCATCCCTGAAGACTCGAAACTGCGGGCGCGTGAGGTGTGCAGGGACTGGGGTGGGAGTCCCGAGCCGGAACTAAAGAGGGGCGACCACTGGGCTGCAAAGCGAGGAGGAAACGGCGGGACTGCAGTTCCGGGCGACCCCACTTCCGACGCGGTCGCTGAGGCGGAGCTTCCCCAGGTGGCGGGGGCGCGGTAGGGCTCCCCCAGGTGGCAGGGGCGGGGCACCACGGCCTGGGTGGAGGCGGGGGCGGGGCGGCTGAACCCCTCCTCTCGCGCCTTCTTGCTCGCGGGCTCCTGCACACCCGAAAGCTCCTCCGCTCCCGCCGCGGTTGCGGGGCCATGGACTTCAGGCCCGCTGCGATCCCCCAGGAGCCCGCCCCGTCTGCAGCTTGAAGGGAGGTAGGTCCAGGTAAGAGCAACGGCGGGCTCTGGGCGGGTGCAGGTTCGGGGAAGGGCGAGGCACGCCCCCTTCTCTGCTTCAGCCTGGGGGCACCTGGAGGCCCCGCGCACTGCGGCTTCTTTGACCGCCCTCTTTGTCCCGGAGACCGCCAGGGTCCTTCATCTCACCCGGAAGGGCCGATGCCCCGCCTGCTTTGGGAGCTCTCGCGCGCGAATCCTGCCGCCCAACTTCTGGAGCGGCCTCCCTACCTGTTCTGATATGCCCAGTCAGTCTCCTCCATATCTCGGCACCACCCGCAGGGTCTCAGCAAGTGACCTCACCCTTGGTCTGTGCTCGGTGCATTGACCCCGGCGCCAAATTGACCTTCCCTGGTCAGCTCACGCCTCTTTTGTCCTGCCCTAACTTCCCCTCCCCCTCAACCCCTACTCCTCTACTAGGTCATAGATTGGTGGCTCTTGGAACGGAATTGAATGTAGTTGAGTTTTGTTTGGTTCTTAAGGTTAAAAAACAAAACAAGCCGTTGCTTTTTTAATAAGTCTGTATTAGTAGGTTTTATTAGTAGATATAACTCACTCCCCCACTCCCACCCTACGGTGCTTGCTTTTTCTAGGCCACTTTAATCCCCACCACAGGCGATTTGCTCAGAGGCATCAAAGATTGCAGCCCTTGCTGTCCTGTTGGTGACTAGCTGCCACCTGCTCTTGTGTCCTTCCTATAAGGGCCACTTGCACTGATACCTCTCTTTCTGTGCCCCCAGATGGTCACCATGGGCCAGTGCTACTACAATGAGACCATCGGCTTTTTCTACAACAACAGTGGCAAAGAGCTCAGCTCTTATTGGCGGCCCAAGGATGTGGTGGTGGTGGCACTGGGGCTGACTGTCAGTGTGCTGGTGCTACTGACTAACTTGCTGGTTATTGCAGCCATTGCCTCCAACCGCCGCTTCCACCAGCCCATTTACTACCTGCTTGGCAACCTGGCTGCAGCAGACCTGTTTGCTGGTGTGGCTTACCTCTTCCTCATGTTCCACACGGGCCCACGCACGGCCCGGCTCTCGCTCAAGGGCTGGTTCCTGCGACAAGGCCTGCTGGACACAAGCCTGACAGCATCAGTGGCCACACTGTTGGCCATTGCCGTGGAGCGGCACCGCAGTGTGATGGCTGTGCAGCTGCACAGCCGCCTGCCGCGTGGCCGGGTTGTCATGCTCATTGTGGTTGTGTGGGTTGCCGCACTGGGCCTAGGGCTGCTGCCTGCCCACTCCTGGCACTGCCTGTGTGCCCTGGACCGCTGTTCACGCATGGCTCCCCTGCTCAGCCGCTCCTACCTAGCTGTGTGGGCCCTATCCAGCCTGCTTGTCTTCCTGCTCATGGTAGCTGTCTACACCCGCATTTTCTTCTACGTGCGTAGGCGAGTGCAGCGCATGGCGGAGCATGTCAGCTGCCACCCCCGTTACCGAGAGACCACACTCAGCCTGGTCAAGACTGTTGTCATCATCCTTGGTGAGTGAGACACTCAACCTGCCCTGGGCCACTGGGACCTAACCTAACCATTGTTTCCTGCAAAACAATGACTTGAATAGGTGACCTGATTGAATTGATGGTAGGGCATAGTTTGGGTGGGGGATGTTCTTCGAGTTCCAAGAGAGAAAACAGAAAGTACAAACCCGAGGGCAAGACCAGACCAGAGTCCATGTGGTTAGCCTGCAAGGAAAGGGAAGATCAGGAAGGCCTTGAAGATCCCAAACAGGGCCAGATTTTGTTCTGAGTTCCATGTGAAGCCCCTAAGAGTTCTTAGCAGGACAATTGTATATAGAAGGAACTGGGTGATGATATACTCTACCACCCCTGAACAAAGATCAACTCTTTCCAGTTATCCCCCACCCTACCCATCCAGCCACAGTAACCTTCTTTCTCTCATTGAACAAATCTCCATACAGAAGCCTCCAGGGGCCTGACTACCTTGGAAAGGCATCCCTTCAGGCAGACAAATCAGAGAAAGGTATCCCCTCTTAGCATTTTTGTCTGCCGCACTGCCAAGCCAGCAAGACAGGCAGCTCTTGGAGCACATACTGCACAGTTATGGCCTGAGCTCTGGGGACTGACCTAGCCCTGAGTGTCAGGCCTCCTGACACCTTGCTTTGCTCACTTTGGCTTCCATCCTGCAGGGGCATTTGTGGTCTGCTGGACACCCGGCCAGGTGGTGCTGCTCCTGGATGGTCTGGACTGCAAGTCCTGCAATGTCCTGGCTGTGGAGAAGTATTTCCTGCTCTTGGCTGAGTCCAATTCACTGGTCAATGCCGCAGTATACTCATGCCGAGATGCTGAGATGCGCCGCACCTTCCGTCGCCTCCTCTGCTGTATGTGCCTTCGCCGGTCCTCCCACAAGTCTGCCCACTATACATCATCTGCCCGGACAGGTGCCAGCACCCGCATCATGCTTCCTGAGAATGGTCACTCTCTGATGGACTCCACTCTTTAGCTACCTTGGACAGGATGCAGCTCTTTGACAACTCATGGATACACCTGGCTTGTCCCAACCAGCAGGACAGACTTAAAAGACAGACCCATGGTCTGGCATAGCACAGCAGCACTCCCCAGGCACACAACTCTGCATGCTCCAGGGTACTGGGAATTGGGGACATCTCCAAGCACCTGGGAGGACTCAGATGGTGTCTGGGAATCTGGCTCTTCAATCATCTCAGGTTTTAGCATTTTTTAACAGAACATTTTTGTACTTTTATGCACATTCCTGGTAAACCCTATGGACTGGTTTCTCCTATATGGTGCTGTGAGTGGGAAAAGTAGAAGAGATGAACGCCCTCCAAGGTCATGCTGCCCAGTGTGACAGGATAACAGGGATGGACTGTGGACACAATATCTTTCTGAGGCTAATTTTTAGCAGCACAGCCTGAGGGGTGCTGAGCATAAACTGGGAAAGGCTTGTGGACCTTTGCAGAGGCTGGCCTATCTCCATTAGTATTGAGGGGATCCAGGATCTACAGGGAGGACATGAATCAGGGAGTAAACCATTCCACTCTAAGGTCTCCAAAGCATTTTTGTCACCAACTCAATCGGTCTGTTCCTGTGTCCCGAAATTGTGTATCAAGTCTCAAGCCTATTAGGCAACATGGCATCTCCTCAGCCCTGTTCTCTTTCCTCTTCGGTTTCTGGCTAGCTGTTATTCTGCCTCTCTTGTTCCAGTCTTGCTTCTGTTTCCTAGTGTGCTATTGTTTTTTCTATCTGTCCCCCTCCCTGTGTTCGTCTTCTGGAGCCTGGGGTGGTCTGTGGTCTATGTGAGTCCTCTTGCTGCCACCTATCCTTTTTATGAGTCCAGATTGTTGAAGATCACATGTACAGCTGTCTCCTTCTCCTCACCTGTCTCACCACCTACATTTAACCTAGTGAGTTCCACTCAGCAGGATGCAGAATTGGAGAGTTGCCATTTTTCAAGCTCCTTTGCTGTGTCTGGCACATTTACAAGCACTTTAGGTGCATTGTTTAACCATCACCTGCATCTTGTAGTTCATGAGTTACACTTATTTTCATGTGAGGACAGTAGTTCAGAGAGGTTGAGATCTGGCCCATGGTTACACAGTTTGGATAAGGCAGAGAACTGCATCAAGAGACTAGAGGGATCCTGGAGAAAGGGCTTCAGATTCCCACAAAGCCTGGAATTAGTCAAAACTCAGCTAGACACTCCCCCTCTCACTCACAGACCCAAGTCCTCGGATGTACCGTGCCCATGTTGAGCCCCATCTCAGTGTCCAGAAAGGCACCCTGCCAGGCACAATGAGCCTAGAACTGGATTGTTCCTACCTCACCAGTGAGGAGACAGGGTTATATTCCTACTTCAGATTCACATGCCGAATAACAGCAGGACTTTGAATCCAGCTCTCATCAGAGGCCAAATTCTTTTCTTCTTGTCTGAGTACTAGGGATGGAACCCAGGGCCTGGTGCATGGGAGGCAAGTATACTGCAACTGAGCCACATCCCCCACCATTTTTTTTTTTGAGGCAGGTCTTCCTAAGTTGTCCTGGCTGGCTTGGAACACGTGCTCCTCCTGCCTCAGCTGGGATTATAGGCATGTGCCACCATGCCTGGTGAGGAGCCAAAGTCTTAAACCATTAAAGCATCTATTTCAGGTGAGCCAAAAACATCTAGGTCCTTCTACATTAAATGGATCTAGGTTTCCCACTGGGAGAACTTATCCCCTTTTCTGTGAAGAACCAAGAATAAACCAAGATACTTGGTTCTTCTCAAGGGTTCAAGTAGATATCACAGCTCTTAGGGCCTCAGTCTCCAGAGGTGACTACCCAGGCACTCATCCAGATATAAGATGCAGACCCTGCCTCCATGAAGCTCCAGGTCTAATGGACAGACACATTACTTTGGGTACTGAGACAGCCAACCAATTCCTACAGGCTGAGCACACCTGATGACCTCCAAAATCGGCTCTTTCATGCTCTGGCTACTTTTTAGTCAGGATCTTCCAAGTTTTCCTTTAGGACTTTGTGCCATCAGCTTTTCCTTCTTGGTTTCTCTTCTCTGCCAGGTGGCATCAGGTTTTATTTCTGTTAGTCCCTGAAGCTTTCAATGCCCCTGCCCCAATGTTCTCTGAAGGCCACTACTTATCAGGCTTCCTGTGTAGTTTTGCATCAGAGAGTGACCTTTTGTATGGGGCACCACTATGTGGCCTCCATGTGTTCTATTACCTCCTGTTATTGGGGCCAAGCGTTGGGTTTCCTTAGTCGCACGCTTTCCTTGTTGTTCTTACACCAAGCCAATATGACTCATTTCCATCCCCTGTGGAGTGTCTTGCAATCCAGTCACATCACATGATGTTTGAATTTCCTCTCCAGCAACAATGGGAAGAAGATGGCCCCTGGTCCTGAGGTTTCCCATCAAGGCTGAGGACTCTACTGAGCCTGCATTTGAAGTCTGTCCTCAGATCAAACTGGGAATGAATTTAGAGAAGGTGTTCACATCCACACTGTTCCTTTTTCCTCACTTGAGAATCCTTTTCTAAAGGCTAGAAACAAAGACCTGTAATGATTCTCTTCAATTTGGAGTGCAGCCGTGAGGTAGGCACTCAGCATATCATCATCCAGTAACCATGTGCTAGCACTTTCCAGGCCCAGAATGCTGTAGACAAAGAATGAATAAACAGGTAAGGTTATGTGGAAAGGATATGGCTAGGGAGTTAGCATGATTCTAAATGACAAGGATAATCATTGAACAGTTGGTGATAGGGAGGCTTCTCTTTATTTTCCAATACTTGGGAAATAACTTTTTAGTTTATAAATATATGATCAATGTATCCCATAAATAGATACACCAAAATAAATAATAAAAACAATTCTTCTGAAGAAAAAAAACAGGCAAGGTCACTCATAAGCTGTATGTTGGAAAATGAATAAATTAATTCTGTAGTGGAGAAAAGCACTCACTTCTGACCTGGCTGACCACACACACACACACCTGGGTCCCTCTGCCAGGTGAAAGGGACATAAAAGGCTCCAGTGGAAGGGCCAGAAACCCTAGTGACTCACCTGATGGGACTGAGACTGAGGGGAGAAAAAAGGGAACCCAGCAGGGGTCATGGATTTGGGGTGTGTCGTTGAGGCTCTTAAAGGTGTGGGGGGTTCTAAGAAGGAAGTGACTTGGAGGAAGAGTGTGGGGGCCTGAAAAGGAACTGGGGACTTTAAGGAAGTGGGAGCTTTAAGAAGATGTGGGGGGTCTCTGAGGAGTGGGGTCTCAGGAGAAGAGTTCTGAGGCTTTGCGGGGTAGTCTGGAGGAACGGGATCCTTGATAAGTGGGGGCCCTGAGGGCCCTCGGTGGAGAAGCGGGGACTCTGAGAAGAATGCATGTACTGCGGAGAAGTAGGGGGTGCAAGCCTCAGAAGCCTAAAGGAGCCGGAGTTGCACTAACTCAGATTGGAAAAGGGTGAGAGTGAGAAGTGCCTCCGCCACACCCAAGCTCGTCTTGAGCGGTTGGCGTGGGTCAGTTCGGGGCGTGTCCCGGGGGCGGTGCACGGAGCCTGGTTGGTTGACGGCGACGTGGAGGCGTGTCTTCAAGGTGCGCAGCGGCATGTGGTTGGCTGCCAGCAAAGGGGGCGGAGTCCATAGGCAGCGGCGGTTGGCTGCGCCGCCCGCGCGAGCGCTCCAGGCCCGGCGGCTCCGCCTCAGCTCCCGCCTGGCCGCGCCGCCCATGGACGCCCCGCTGCGCTCGCCTAGCCCCGCGCAGCCACCACCTGCCCCGCGCCACCCGCCTCCCGGGCCTCCGCCAGGCCCTGACACGAGCGACGTCCTGCAGCAGATCATGGCCATCACTGACCAGAGCCTGGACGAGGCGCAGGCCAGGTGCTCCTTGCGGGCTTGTCGGGGGCCACTGAAGGGGGCGGGCCGAGGAGGAGGACTGGGGCAGCTAGGGCGAGAAGGGGACTGGGACGAACATCTGGGTGCGGAGGAAGTGCAGACAAATATGGGGGCTTGAGAAGGCCTGAAGGTTTCCAAGGACGAGGGGTGTAGGGGAATAAAATGGAATGGGTTGGACGGGCCTTATGGGACTAAGCAGAGGGTGAAGGGTTTAAGGAGCTGGGTCCTGGAGCGAGAGGGATGTGTATAGTGAAAGAGAGTTTAGGGGTTACTGGAGGGAGGGAAGGGCTGAGAGATGGGTACACTCGCGATTGCTGAAGGGCGAACGAACGTCTAAATGGATCGGTTGGTGGGATTTAACAGGATGGCAAATTTGGAGGGCAGATAATGGTGGAGAAAGGGGTTCAGAATGTCTGTGTAGAAGACTGAAGTTAAACTGGGGTGAATTTGTGTGGGAACCATTCAGAGCTTTAGGGAGAAGGATTTGTGAGGGAGATGGGTGGAGATGGAGGACCCCGCCTTTTTTTTTTTTTTAATGAATTTGGCAAATATTTATTGGACATTTACTAAGTGCAGGTCACTAAACCAGATGCTGACATAATCTTTGCTTTCAAGTTCATGGTTTGGGGGAGAGAAAGTAAGTATAAAAAAGTATGTATTCGGTAAAGCTGTAAGGAAAGGAAGGCATATTGTGGGATGCCAGATGGAGAAGGCAGGCCTGGAGAAGGGATGGAACCTTCAGAGGTCCTGGATCCAGGGAGAGAAAGTTCCTGGTCAAGGAGAGCCAGGGAAAGAGTTGAGTTTGGAAAAAGGCTGGAACCTGATTACAGCTAGAGCCTACAAGTCTCAGTAAGGACTTTGGATTTTATTCCAGTTGCAATGGGAAAAATCAAAGCAAGTTTTAAGACCACCTGCCCATTTACCTCCATCCACCACTTGTCAGACAGAATTGGTGAAGTCAGCTTCACAAGATAGTTCACTATGTTTGGGGCTTGCTGGAATTATTAGAAAATAAGAAAGGACTGAAGTCATTTTGGAAGATGAGGCTGTATTCTAAGGGGCCTGTTTTGGGGTGAAGGTTGTTCCTTAGGGATGGAACTAGGATCTGTAGGGCGGACTGTACAGCCACCAAAGTCATTCATAAAGATGGATTATAAAGCCAGGTAAACAGCAGCCCAAAGGGCTGGAAGGTGTAGCACAGTAGTAGAGGGATATGCAAGGCCATGGGTTCCATTCCCAGCACTGTAAAAAAAAATAATAATAATAGTAATACAAAAACAAAAAATCCAACAGCTTCAGGAAGAATGAGGCAAAGAAAAAGATGCAACATGCTTTTGGGTTTTGTTGTTGTTTTAGTACCAGGGATTGAACCCAGTGTCTCTTTTTTTAATATTTTATTTTGAGACAGGGTCTTGCTGAGTTGCGGAGGTGGGTTTTGAACTCGCAATCTTCTTGCCTCAGCCTCCTGAATTGCTGGGATTACAGGTAACGTGCCACCATGCCCAGCCATGCATTTGTTTTTCAAACTTTCTTTTCTTTTCCTCTTGTGGAATGTTGACTCTGCAGTTTTGTAGCCTCTATCTGCAAAGTTAGGAGTACTCCCACCCTCCAACTATGTTCATTCTACTTTTTGGAGCACTGCCAGGTTGCTAGAAAAACCAAGATGGCTAAGATGTTCTTTGCAGAAAAGTAGCGGGTACAAGCCTCAGAAGACTAAAGAGCCGGAGTTGCACTAACTCCTCTTGGAGTAAATTCAGAAATAAGGTATATGATAGACTTGTCATAACAGGAGTGCACAGTTTAGAGGTAATTCACAGGCTAAGCCAGAAGAGAGTACCTTACTGTGATGACCTAACAAAGCTTAGGCTTTGTTGTACTTTTTCCCTTTTATTCCCAGGGTTATTATGCACCTAGCAGTAAAGTGTCATGGCACTGAAGAGATTCTGGAAGGATTAGAAGGAGCTGGGGAGATATATGCTCTTCACCCCTAGGAACTGTTACCACAAAAGCAACACTGGTTTCCTGGGAGCTGCTTATGCTCCTTCCAGTCTGGGAGGGGAGCTGCATGAGGGGAGAGCTCTGCCCAGGTGTGATCTTCCTTAGGCTTTCTCAGGCATCTGTGGACCCAGCACAGCCCCAAGGCTGCTGTATTTTCCTTGCAGTAATCTCTTGAGATTCTAGTCTGCCTAGAGAGTCTTTAGAAGGAAATGTAGTCTCTTCTTTGCTGTTTTAGAAGGCAGTTTTTTGTTGTTATTGTTTGTTTGTTTGTTTGCAGCATGAGGGATTGAAGCCAGGAACACCTTGAAATATCTTCTAGACCTTTTTTTCCCCCTAGACAGGATCTCATAAAGTTCCTTAGGCTGTCCTTGAACTTGTGATCCTCTAGCCTCAGCCCCTTAAGTAGCTGGAATTACAGGCATGCACACTGTCCCCAGCTTGTTTGTTTTTTTAAGGCTAAGAAATTAAATGGGGGAGGAGAGTATTATTCATGCTTTACTTGATAATATAGTTGTTACTTAGCTGTTTGCTCATTCCTGGCTTCTTTCTGAAGTAGAAAGACCCCTGGAGCTTTTATTTTGACATTTCAAAAGATTCAGATTCCTCACTTCATTGAACCTAGCTTGTAGACAAACTCTACAGTTTCTGAGGGTCACCCAAGTCCCAACAACAATCTTTAGTCCTTAGATGAGTCACTTACTCCAATGTGAAAAAAACACAGCTGGCTGGAATCTCTTCCTCACGGTATTCAAGCTCTCTGTACCCAAGGATTCTGCATCCACAGATCTAACCAACCTCAGATTGAAAATATGTTGAAAAATATATTGAAAAAGTTGCATCTGAACATATGACATTTATACTGTATTAGGTGTTATAAATAATCTTGAGATGATTTAGAATATATGGGAGGATACATAAAGGTATATGCAAATACTGTGCCATTTTACATAAGGAAATTGTGATAGGGCAACCCATTCTGGTCCTGGACCTTGCAAAAAGAGGATTTCCCTAAGCCCAGAGGAAGGAGAGTCAGAGAGAACTGGGGTAGAGCCTCAAACACTCTACTAAGGGGTTGGAGAGGGTGTTTTTGAGGCAGGCCATGAAATGCCATTTCATATTTCTGTTCAGTAGACAAGAAGTTGTGGTTTGTTTGTTTGTTTTTATTTGTTCTAATTGGTCATACCTGAGAGTAGAATGCATTTTGACATAGTGTACACAAATGGAGCACAACTTCTTGATTTTCTGGCTAAAACATGGTGCAGAAACACTTAAGGTTGTAGTTTTGATAAGAAATATAGTTGTGTTAGTTGGACCCGTCAATGGACAAATTAGGAAATGACATTGTAGTGAGATTTTTACAGACTTATGTTTGTTCTGTCTGAAAGATGCTGGTTTTTTTTTTTTTTTCCAGTCCTGCAGATTTTTTCTTGTGTCATGTTAAACAATTTTTCTTCTTTCTTGGTTCCAAATCTAGCTCCTGGTCCAAAGCTTCATTTTGCTTAAATTACTAAAATAACGCCAATGGTTGAATTTGAGAATCCCTACATGTTCTCAGTCTTTGTTTGCTGTCTTTCTTTCTTTCTTTGTGGGTTTGTTTTTAAAGTGACCACTGCAGTTGATTTATGGCATTTATTACACATTGATCCTTCCCAATTTCACTATTATCAAGAACAGGGCATCTCATTGCTGAGGCTGGCTTTGAATTTGTGACCTTCTATCTCAGCCTCCAAGCCACTGGGATTATAGGTGTGGGCCACTGTGCCTGGCATCATATTTCTTTTTAAAAAAGTTACAGAGGAGCACTGGGGTAGCAGCTCATGGCAGAGTGCTTGCAGAGCATGCATAAGTCCCTGGTCCATCCCCATAAAACTAACCAGGTGTAGAAGAAATATGCTCTAGAAGTCCAGGTATGTGGAAAGTGAAGGGTGTCAAGTGAAGAGCAGCACCCATCCCAGGTCTCTGGGAACAGTTGCTTCTGTGCTGCAGGGGGCCTGTGCAGGGCACTGGCCTTCTGTCCACACAATCCCCTAAACAGAGGAGGCTGGAGTCCTAAGTCTGCGTGGAGTTAGAACACAGCTGGGTCGCACTCCTTCTCAGGGTACTGGCTCTCCTCTTGGCCCCATCCACCTGTGATTTTCATTGTTTTCTTGAATTTTTCTTGAATTAAAGCAGCTCTTTGTACATTTTTAAAAAAAAAAAAAGAACTGGGCATCTGCCTCCTGAGCTATATTCCTTCCTGAAGTTTAGGGCCCTCTGTGACTATCTAGGCTTTATATCAAGGTTTTTTGTTGTTATTATTTTTATTTATTTATTTATTTATTTATTTTTGGTGCTGGGAATCGAACCCAGGGCCTTGTGCATGCAAGGAAAGCACTCTACCAACTGAGTTATATCCCCAGCCCTTCTATCAAGGTTTTATTTCTTCATTTCTCTATTTTTTTTTCTTTTGTATCAGGGATTGAACCCAGGGTCACTTAATCAATAAACCACATCCCTAGCCCTTTTTGTTTGTTTGTTTTTGTTTTGATGCTGGGGATTGAACCCAGGGCCTGTGTATGCAGGCAAGCACTCTACCAACTGAGCTATATCCCCAGCATCCCCAGCCCTTTTAAAACTTATTTTTAAAATTTGTAAACATTTTTTTTAGTTGTAAATGAACATAATACCTTTATTTTATTTATTTATTTTTATGTGGTGCTGAGGATCAAACCCAGTGCCTCATATATGCTAGGCAAGGGCTCTACCACTAAGCTACAACCCTAGCCCTATTTTTCAAAATTTTGAACAGGATCTCACTAAGTTTCTTAGGACATTGCTAAGTTGCTCAGGCTGGCTTTGAAACTGTGATCCTCCTGCCTCAGCCTCCCAAACTTTTGGGATTACAAATGTGCACCACTTCTCCCAGCAAGGTTTTATTTCTTAAGGGTAGAGAACATGTCTTCTAATTTTTGTTTTGTAAAAGAGATGCATAATGTTATTAGGTTCTT